GCAAGCTCCCGTGGCATACTACCACATGTGAACTTAGGGGTGCTTCGCAGTCAAAGAGACAGCAGTCCATGGAGGCAGTGAGCACACTCGAGGGTCTGTAGATACCATACGTGGTTCCAGGGGATGCCAGTCCATGAAAGCAAAGCCACATCAGATCCCACTCCTGACACCAGATATAACTTAAAAAGAAAAGGCCTTTCAAAGTGACAACGAGCATTTATTTGAAATCAAAAGAATAGCTATTTGGGAAGCTTTGACTCAGGCAGAACCCCAAATAATGCTCCGATTATGAGACAAAAGCAATGGATGTTTATGAGGAAGAGAAGGGATCAATTCTATCCATTGAAGGAAGGCGTTTCTATTGGTGCGAATGAGCTAACATAGTGATGCTAATTCTGAACCATGTTTTTTTCAGTCCGGTAGCCATCAGTCTGAAAGTCATATATCTGCTTTCTTGTTATCCTTACAAACAGTTATTTGGGAAACGAGGTTGCTTAGGCTGAGCATAAAGGTTATTTTGCCCCGTTTTAACATCCCAAAGGTTGGAGGATTAGACACGCAAGGCGGTTCCTCTAGGATGGCAGTTCCGGCTCCGTTTTAAAGTAGCTCCATTTGGATCATCGTTTACGCTCCTCACCCCACCTCCTTCATCCAAATCCTATGGGCCAGACATTTGCTCTTTCTCCAGGTCCAAGCCACCCGCCGCTTCCGGGGTGACGGCTCCATTCTTCCCGGATGGCTCCTCCTCCCCACCTCTCTGGCAAATGAGGGAAACACTGGGGAATAAAATATGTCCCCCCACCACCTATGCGTGGCTGACATTCTAGTGGGAGGAGACGGAAGGAAACAAACCCCGAAGGTAAAATAAGCGTATGACGCTGCGTGCAGAAGTTCCCGGTGCCATGGGACACGAGGACTGAGAACCCTGAAGGCAGAGTTGTGCTTTGCCATTTAAACGACGGCGGGGTGTGGGGTGGGGGAGTGCACTTCTGTTTATTTTCAGTGTGGGCAGGAGGAACCCATGGTAGTAGCGAAGCCAGGACTGGCGCCTCGAGCCACAGGCCCCGCCCCCGTGCGGTGCAGCCACCCGCTTCCCAGTAGGAGGGAGTGACTCGTGTTACTCGGTCTGCCTCTTCCTGGCACAATGTCAGTCCAGGCAGGCGTGCTTGTCAGCTCGGACCCCTCCGTGTCCAGCTCGGACCCCTCCGTGTCCACAGTCCCGAGACGCAGCCCACACATGACCACTGCTATCTGAATGCCCCTTGCCCAGGCTTGAAATGAAGCCCCTCACCCCAGGAGCCTGACAAAGACCTCTCCCTGACCGAACTTCGGTCAGGCTCCTCTATGCCCTCTGCAGTCCTCACCCTTTGAGATCTCATCCGCCCGCCCTGCCTTCGGCAAGAATCCCCCTGCTCCTGAAGACTCCTCTTAGATGCCTCCCGCCCACTTCCCCCGACCTCCACCTCCGAGGATGAGAGGATGAGCGGCTGTTCCATGACGTGACTGCCCACTGCCTGCTGTGAGCTGGCCCCGGGCAGGGGGGTGTGCTTCCTGCAAACCCCACTTAGAGGCCGTCTGAGGGAGCCGATGCTCATTCTGACACGAGTCAGCAGCCCTGCCTCCTGCTCGGTGCTGGCCCCTGGAGCAGGCTGCCCTCCCGACCTGGTCAATGTTCCCTGACCTGGTCAATGTGTCCAGGAACTTCTGTACCTGGCAGCATCTGTGCACTGGTACCGTGACCCCCCTCCCCCCGCCGTGTAATTCTTTGGTGCCTGCCAAGAGCCACGGGACCCACTCGGCCACCATGACCGCCTCACGTGTCAGTCTCCCTGAGTAAACCTCACCGATGACCAGAACAGGCGGGGCGAGGGGAGGCAGCCTCTTCCTCGGGTCTCCTTGCCCTCCATGCGCAGAGGTAGATGGCCAGCCTCCGGGCTTCCCTTGGGTCTGCTGTACGGATCCCCCGCCCCTGCTCCCTGGTGGCCATGACCCGCAGCTGTCTTTGCTGCACTGGAGCCTGGCCTGCTGGCCCTGGCTGCAGTGATGGCCTTCAGGAGCCCTTCACTCCAACGAGTGTCAGAACGACTCCCTCTGAAAGCAGCCCCTGCCCTGCCTGGTCCGGGGTACCTGTGGCTCTGGCGCTGGTGTCTAGGGTCTGCACCACCTGCTGGCCCGACCTAAGCGGCTGGCTGGTCAAGGCCCGTGGGGTTAAGTGGCAGGACGGTCTGAGCAGCTGGCCTGGGAGTCTGCTCTGGGAGAGGGGCGGGGCCGCTCCTGTGCTGACACATTAATTTTTGAGTCCAGGAGGACGGTGGATGGTCACTCATTACCAAGGGTCCAGGTCAAGGGGCTGAGTGGTGTCCAGTCCCTTATGTAACGTGTGGGCATATATAGGGGTACACGCCCTGTGGGACGCTTACCCACCTGCCCGCTCTGCTCCCTCTCAGGATGAAGGTCGCTATGGTGAGTTCCCCAGACCTCACACTGGGTGGCCCTGCTGCCCACTCCTGGGGTGCGGGGGGGCGGCTGTCCCTCGTGGAAAGGGGCCACAGCTCCCGTCCCAGCTGGTGCCTGCCCGCCCGCTCCCCCAGTGGAAGGGCTCCTCGTTTCCTGCGGTGGTCCAGCTGGGGCAGGTCTGCAGTCAACCCCTCGGCTCCCAGTGGCCCGGGTCTTGAGGAGGAGATGGCCTGCGGGTGCTGTGTTCCCTGGAGGCAGACGCCCGCTGCCGTCCACCTGCACACAAGGACACCAGGCACAACAACGCCTTGGCCTTGTCAAGGCCGCTGCCTGGCGCAGGGGCCAGAGACGGGTGTGCTCGGGAGGGGCTGTGCTCTGGGGTGTCCACCCGCCTCGGTGACCCCTGGCTTAGCCCTGCGCTCCAGATGGAGGGGTTGTCGCACTTCCTCATGGAGCATCATGGCGAAGTGGGTTCGATTCCCACCCAACCAGGGCCCAGACCCTTCCCTGGCCTACCGGCCTGAGCTGGACGGGGAGGCGGCCAAAGACAAGGGCGGCTTCCGGAACTACACCGTAAGGACCCACTCGGTGCCCACGCCCTGTCCCTCTGCTCCGCCCCCCTGGAGCCCCGCCCCCACCCTCCACCCAGCTGCTGACCCCGGGACACCCAGGGTCACACCTGTGAGGCCTGGCCTGGGGGAGGCGGGAAGCGCGGGGCTGGCTGGGCCTGGCTGACCCTCCGGCTTGCAGTCCGGCCCGCTCCTGGACCGCGTCTTCGCCACCTACAAGCTCATGCACACGCAGCAGACGGTGGACTTCGTCAGGAAGAAGGTACCGGCCGGCTCCTCGGCCGCAATTCTGAGGGGGCAGAGAGGGACTGGGCCTGGCCCGGCGGCCCGTGGCCGCGCTGACCTGTCCCTTCCTGGCCCAGCACGCCCAGTTCGGGAGCTTCTCCTACAAGAGGATGACGGTCATGGAGGCCGTGGACATGCTGGACGAGCTGGTAGATGAGTCAGACCCGGACGTGGACTTCCCCAACTCCTTCCACGCCTTCCAGACGGCCGAGGGCATCCGCAAGGCCCACCCAGACAAGGGTGCGCCCCCGCCCCGCCCCAGCCGCGGTGGGGGGCTGTGCTTCCCCAGCAGGCCCCGCCCGCAGCCCGCCTTTCCTCTCCCTCCCAGACTGGTTCCACCTCGTGGGGCTCCTGCACGACCTGGGGAAGGTCCTGGCTCTGGCGGGGGAGCCCCAGGTGAGGGCAGGGATGGAGAGGGCTGGGCAGGGTGGGGCGGGACAGCCTCGGTTCTGGGCTGGGGGCGTGGGGGGGCCCCCTCGGTAAGCGAGCCAGTCACGCCCACCGACAGCTGCTTGTCTGTCCCCAGTGGGCGGTCGTTGGAGACACCTTCCCGGTCGGCTGCCGTCCCCAGGCGTCTGTGGTTTTCCGTGACACCACCTTCCAGGACAACCCGGACCTCCAGGATCCTCGATACAGGTGCTGCTCCACCACTGCTGCCCCCCGAAACCCACGCTCCAGAAGCCCTCACCCACTCTCTCTCCCTGCAGCACGGAGCTCGGCATGTACCAGCCCCACTGCGGCCTTGAGAATGTCCTCATGTCCTGGGGCCACGACGGTGAGGCCCGCCGGAAGCTGGCTGCCCAGGGCTGGCCTGCGGTGGGGGCCGTCCCTCTGGGTGCCTGGCAGTGACACCCTTTCTTTCTCTCGCAGAGTACATGTACCAGGTGATGAAGTTCAACAAATTCTCTCTCCCGCGGAAGGTAGGTGCGGTGGGGAGGCCGGACCAGCGGTCCAGCCCGCCCAGCCCCGCCGTGCCCTGAGCATGCCCTGCATGGCTTCCTCCGGTCCCCAGGCCTTCTACATGATCCGGTTCCACTCCTTCTATCCGTGGCACACGGGAGGTGACTACCGGCAGCTGTGCAGCGAGCAGGACCTGGCCATGCTGCCCTGGGTGCAGGAGTTCAAGTGCGGCCATCCCCCTGGGGGACTGGGAGGGGGAAGGGGGAGGGGGAATAGAGTATCAGGGGCTTTTCCACAACGCATTGTCCCTCCCTTAATGCAGCAAGTTTGACCTGTACACCAAGTGTCCCGACCTGCCAGACGTGGAAAAGGTGAGGCCCTACTACCAGGGGCTCATTGACAAGTATTGCCCTGGGGTCCTGAGCTGGTGATGTGCTTGCCCACCCTGCTGAGACCGGCCGAGTGCCCCAGGGTGACAGCCACTGCCAAGCTCAGTGACAACCCACCCCTGCCTCCTCTGGGACCCCACACACCCACCTTTGGTCTGCGCTCCCCATCCTCGTGGCCACTCAGCCCGGTGGTAATAAAGACCTTGAAGCAGCTTGAGTCTGACCCTCATGAAGGCCGTGGTGTCCTGTGGAGTCAGGCAGTCTGTGTCCAGTCAGTGGCCTCTTGGACACGTGTGTCCAGCTGTGCCTGTCGCCATAAACGTCTCGTTCATCCTCCCAGCTCCAATGTTAGAACCTGGGGTCACCCGACTCTCTCTTACATTCTTAAAATTGTCACAAAGTCCTCTGGACTCAATCTACTTAAAAACAAACAAACAAGAACACTTTCTAGCTAACGAACTCACTACAGAAAGCATCAGATGACAAAGGCACAGCTTAGTTGCTACGAACACAGCCCATGAATAGATGAGATACCCCAGGGCCCTCCCTGTGCCCTGAGGTGTACCCCCGCCTTGGCTCAGCCAGTCACCTCCGTTCCTAAGTGGTTTTATCCCGCGTGTACCCCTCAGGGCTCAGTTGAGCAGTTTAATTCTTGGAAGAAAGTGGGTCATTTGCCTGAGAGAATTTCCTTCTGTTGGGTTTTGCCCACGACAGCCCATGGCGCCTATCAGTGCTTCTCGTATTTCCCGCTCATTAGTTCGCGCATGTAGAGGCCTCATCAGATTCGGGTGTGGCTTGTTGGGGGCAAGAGCCCTCCGGAGCTGTTGGCGTGACTTCTATCAGGCGACACACGTCTCTTGTTTTGTCAGAAGCCACCATGTTCAGGTTTATCTATAACACTCTTAATCCGCGAGGAGGCAGAACAGCCGCGGTCCTGCCACGTGCTGCCCTCCGCTGGCCTCCGGTGAGGCTCCAGTGCCGTCGCTTACTGTTTGTATGGGAACAGCAAGTTTTTACTCCAGCCTTTCCCTTGTCAACTTGTAAGGGTTGTTCCCCTCGCGTCCCTGTAAGGTGATCAAGTTGTCTGCTTTTGTAGAAGCGTAGGGATCTCGGCATGACTGTGCATTAGGTCATTGGGTTATCCTCAAGGATGCTCAGGGTCCCATCCTCGCCAGTGGGGGAGGGGCTTCCAGTGGGCTCCTGGGTCTCTCTGACACGACCTCAATGGCCTCTGGAGATGTCTTGCTGACTGGTGTGACGAGACACCCAGACTGTCAGTTTCCTGTGTCTGCCATAACAGATGACCACAGACTTGGTGGCTTCAAACAACAGAAATGTATTCTCTCAATTCTGGAAGCCAGAACTCTGAGATTAAGGTGTCGGCAGGGCCCCGCTCCCCCCAGAGGCTCCTGGCAGGATCCTCCCCGCCTCTTCCAGCATCCCGTGGCTGCCGGCGTCCTCGGGCTCAGGGCCGCATCTCTCTGTGCCCATCTCCTCATGGCTTTTGTGTTTGTCTCTCTGCTTCTTTCTTATAAAGATACTTGTCGTGACATTTGGGGCCTTCCCAGATCAGCCAGGATAATCTCATCTCGAGACCCTTCATTTAATCATACCTGCAACATGGTTTTTCCTAATAAGGTCACACTCACGAGTTTCAGGGGTTTGTACAGACATTTTTTGGGGGGCCATTTATCAGCTTCCCACAGAGGCTGCTGCAGACCCAGAACTGCTCCAAGGAGCCCTGGTTTCTTTGAGTGAGAAATAGCATTTCAAACCCATGCTTGGGGCTGAAGTCGCAATCGCCTCTTGACCCTCCATCTCCACTCTGAGCCCTGGGCGTTGCCCACTGTCCTCCTCGCCCTGCTCAGGCTGCTGCATGCCCGAGGCCTGTCCTGCCCAAAGCCCACCCTGGCCCTCCCCGTCAGCTGCTGCTCCCAGGAGTCTGTGGTCTGTGCCCCCGGGGCCCACCAGCTGTGTGCTGGCGTCGGGAGAGAATGGGCACAGGTGTGTTTGGAGATTAGCCCGAGCTCTTCCCCATTCACGAGTTTCCTTTCAAACAACCTCCGCCTGTCCTGGGCTCCTTCCTTCCCCGTGTGGGCGGCCGTCCTCCTCCTGTGCCCCACCCAGCCTGTGAGATCCGGCAGGAAAGGTGCAGGGCTCCAAGGGGGTCCCTCTCTGGAGCTGTTCCATGGGGCGTGTAGGGGGCCGGAGCGGCAGGAAGGAGGTATCAGAGTAGACTGGACCTTGGCGATGGGGCCATGAAGGGCGTGCCCCAGGGTGGACAGACCTCCACCTTCCCGATAGCAAGGAGGAGGCGGGCCTCAGAGGAGACGGGTGGGGTAGAGGATGAGCCCTAAAGCTGGGCCAGGGGGACTGCTGGGCGGGCTGCCCCTCTGGGTTCAATGTTGCCATTCCGATGCCACCCCTGGCGAGACTCCCACTGCAGAGCAGGAGCAGCCGCCCTCGCCCCTGTCCCCAGGCCACCCCGGAGCCTCTCTGCGCCCCTTGCAGATCCTAACCTGGCCATCTCCAAAAAGGCCCAGGTTGGGGGGAGGGCAGTGGGGGCAGGGGTCTGTATTTCTGTCCACCCAGGGCACTGTCAGGCCCCACTGGGGGCCCCAGGGCAGGAGGACAGCCGAAGAGCCCCCAGAAGGGAGGGAGGGCTTGGCTTCCCCTCTGGCTGGCGCTGGCGACCCACTCCCCTGGCCCGTGGGCCTCTCTGCCCGCGAGCCCCCTCTTGCTCTGTGCTAGCTGATTACTGCTTGGCTATCGCCCATGAGAACATAGGTCATTGCCCACGGGAACATAACATTCTAACAATAAGCTTTCTGCTTCTGCACCCCGCTTGCACATCCGACCTGTGGGTTGAGTTAGTAAATAGAAGAAAAATAGACCTTTGTGTTCAGACAGAATGAGAAATGGGATTTAGGGCTTAAAAACCCTGTACCTCTACATTTCAGGGCTACTTAATTTGGGGTCTGCGCACCCCTGGCAGACCCAGCTGGCTGAATAAAGAGTGCGTTTCCTATAACTCACTGGTTCCTGGTGTTCTGTGTGTCTATCGGGGGCTGGCGGCTACAACAGCGCCTCCTGTGCCATCCGGCAGCAGCCTCTCGTCCCCACCAGTCTCCCTGGCTTGGGGCTCAGGCCTTCCAGCACCTTTCTGATCAGTAATGTTTCTCTTTAAATGAGCCAGTTTCCCTTGAGAAAGTGAGATGGAGAAATCCAGAATTTGTTTTCAGGCCTGTTTGGGGCTGAACGTTGGGAACGCCGGCTGGTATTGGAAACCCAGCCGCCCACGGCCTGCAAAGCAGAACAGGTAATTCCGGCCTTTGCCACTCTGAACGGAAGATTAATGAACAGAAACCCGCTTAGGTTGGAGCGGAGAGGGGCCTGCCCGGGGAACCCCCAACAGGAAGAGGCTGCTCTCCACCTCCAGCAGGAAAAAGGAGGAGCTTCTCTTCCCTGGCAACCACTCAGCCAATGAGAGATGGTTACAGCTCAGCCAATGAAAAGCCACGACACTTCTAGCTCCCAGTTTCCTCCAATGGGCTCTCTGTTAACAACGGCCCCTCCAAACGCTCCCTTTCCTCTATAAAAGAACTTTCCTCTCTTTTGATCTTTGGGCTTGCTCTGAGATCCCAGGTTCAGGATGGCAATTCTTCCTTTTTCCCAAATACACAAGAAGAAATATCTATTTGCTTAAGGTTGACAGAGGCCAACCTTTGGGGACAATGAGCAGGCAAGAGAGGAAGGGTGGCTGCTTCTAAAGGCACAAATGGCCCAAGAAAACACAATGACAAGTTCAAATCCCTCAATTTCAGCCCACGTTCAAGGCTGAGTGTGTGATTGTGCTTAAACAGCAGTTCTCAGAGTATGGTCTGCAGTTGCTTAGGGGGTCCCTGAACCCTTTAAGGAGACTGTGAAGTCAATGGTATTTTCATAATATACGGAGACATTACGAGCCTTTTTCGCTGAGTTGACACGATGGCGTGAATGTAAGATTGGGTAGAAGCACAACCCGAGACGGTGGCCCCGGATGCTGGTCCCGTGTCCTTCGACGCTACACTCCCAGTTTAAAAAATGTCAGTTTTACTCAAGAATGTCTTTGAAGTAGTAAAAGTTGTTAATATTATTACATCTCCATCCTTGAGTATGGTCTTTTTAAGCTTTCGCGGGGTGACTGAGTTTTCAGCTCAACCAGTCTGGTTTACTTAGAAGAACCACTGGTGATAAACTATATTGTCTTGGGTATTCAGCAGGTACTTTCTTAAAAATTAACAAAGTAAGACTGTTGCTTCAAGGAAAACAGTGACAGCATTTGTTGCCGATAAAATTCCACCTTTAAGTAAAACTTAGGACTTGGGAAAACTTGTGTGTGTTGGAAGCCGGACAGTTGGCTTCAGGATGTGAGTGCCTGACTTAAGCTTTGACTGAGAGGCGTCTGCTTCAAAGCAGGCCATCGGGGGGAACGAACACACTGTGGCCACAGGACCAGATACAAATCCAGGCCATCTACCCCCAACTGAGTTTCCTTTGTTTTAAGAGATATTGGTTCATTCTGATAACTGACTATTTTGGTTACTCGTCTTTTTTCTCTTTTCCTGCACTCCGAATACCCCACTTAAGTTTTAAATTCACCAATAAAGAACGAATCCATGAAACTCTGGGACCAACCAGGACACCAATGAAGGCATCACTCCAGGCCCGTGTTCCTCTCTACTCTCTCCCCCGACCTCACTGTGTGCCCTGACATGCCTTGTACACCCGAGGGCCTGTACATAACAAATTGTTTTTTTCAAAGTTTCCTTACGGTTATTGATGAAGGGCATCTTGCAATCATAAAAGAGCCCCAAGGATCAGTCCAGTGGTAACTTTGGTTCGGGAAGGGGAGATGTCTGTGGGAAACTCACCAGAGGTCCAGGTGGGTGCCTCCCCCCCAGCATTTCCAGCTGATAGCCTTACTAGCGATCGACTGAGGCCCGCAGGAAACACTGTTTCTGCTACTGTGAACTTGACACCTTACTCACACTTCAAGATTTTTCTGATGAGCTCGATGGTGATAGTAATGAATGTGAGTGTTTGGAGACTGTACAATGGAAGGTCTCGATGTTTAGGAGATCTGCATAATTCGATGAGCGAATATTTTCCACACGACAATATATGATGCTCCAAAATCACAAAAGAGTCCCCAAAGGGTTTTCATGCGACAGAGGACAAAAAGCTCAGTGGCATGGTTTCAAATTCCAAATTGCGATGAACCCCTAAGAAACTACCACTTAGTTCTGATGAGGTATTAAAGGAATATTCGCAATGATTTGCAACGTTTTCTAAACATCCTTCCTTTTTCCAACTCCGTATCTGTGTGAGGCCGGATTTTCTTCATATATTTCAACCAAAAACATATTGCAACAGATTGACCAGAAGCACCTGTGAGAATCCAGGCATTAAGGAGGTTTTGCAAAAATGAAAAACTGTGCCACTCTTATGGAAGCACATGCTTGCTTGATGTCTCAGCTTTTCGCCTACCACCTTCTGCTTCTGTGTAGCCTGTTCTCATCCTCTTTTCTGTGCCTCCAAGTTCCCACAAGTTCCTGTGATGCTGTGTGCTCTGATTCCTGTTTTTCTTAGTTCAGATTCTAAGGTGTGGGATCTGGCCCAGCTTCTGTTTCTATACCGGACCACAGAAGTTTCCAGCCAACTTTCGGACTGGCTGCTCTTGGGGTACATGCTCATCTTGGTTCAGTTAGCCGGAATCAGGAGAGGTCTGTGGTCCCTGCACCAGGATCTGTGACTTTGGAAGGGGCACACGGTGGCACAGTGTGGCATTTCTGGTACCACCTGGGGTGGTAGAGAATCTGCTTCGCTCCAAAGACTTCTGCTTCAGCAGCGCCGTTGCTGACCAGAGCTTGTTGTCCCTGCATAAAGGACCTTCTTTTGCTGTCTGTGTCTCGCAAAAGAAGTGATTGGTCACTTCCTAGGATGTTACTTCTCCTTTCCTGGCCCTGCTCCAGTTGTTTTAAGTGTGTAACTGGCCATAATTAACACACACACATAAACACACACACACACACAACTTGTCAATTTGCCTCTTCAAAATGAAAAATGATTTCACCCCTAAAACCAACCAGCCTCTAATGAATGCAGAATGATACACAGTCCAAGCCTCAAGAGCCGTGTGCTGCAACACTCTAAAAATTGCCAGAGTCAATTTCAAATAAAATATTTGATAAAACAAAACAGAACACTATGCCACTCTTCATACTTCTTGTTTCTGGAAATAGTTCTTTTTCATTAAAAAATTTGCTATTATTGTAACATGTTATGAATTTATTATGTTTAAATGCAATTAATAAATATTTAAAGAATTTCTTGTTTTATTTCTTGCCAGTGTGGTAAATGTTGACAGAGATAGTCCTTGTGAATGAAAGCTCTTCGGGGTCCTCCATAAGCGTAAAGAATGTAAATAGGCCCTGCGGCCGGGTGACCCAGCCAACTTCTTTTTGCAGGAACCCTGCCCTCTGCCCCGTGAGGGCAGAGGAGGGGGTCACGTAGGAGTGCGACCTCATGTAGCTGTCACCAAACTCAGTATGGCCATAGCATGCACCTTTCCCGAGGGGGCGAGTCGGCCACCATGGTGGGCACCGTCTGTCCCGTTGGGCAGTGATTTGTCATCATTAGCAGCCCTTTGTGTGTATTTGGACTTGCTGTCCCTGCCTGTGCTTCCTCCAGCACCGCTGTCCACTAACTCAGAGGATGCCCGTCACGGAGGTGGCCTGCGCAGCACTGTGTCTGTCTAAGGTCCTTCTTCACAGAGCAAGACACAAAGCAGAGGCTGGTATCTGCAGACCCCACACCCTACGACCCCCAAACTCATGACCCGATGGAATGGTGGCATGGCCAGTTGAAGACCCAGCCGTGGGGCCTGCTTGGAGACAACACCCTTGTGAGCCAGGATGCAGAAAACGCCCTGTGCGTCGAGCCCAGAATCCAGTGTCCAGGAGCCATCGGGTCTATGTGGGTGAGGGCCTCTCACTCCTGCAACCAGTGACTCCTGGTGAGGTTGCTGCTGCCTGTCCCAGTGACTCTGGTCATGCTGCCTCGTGAAGCGTGGGAACAGCGTGCCCTCCTAGACACACAGCTTCCCTTGAGCTAGACACAGCCTGCCACTGGATGAACCAGGGAGTTGGCCTGACACAGCTGTGTCCACAGTGTGACCTTGTCAGGCCTAGCTGTGGCAAGGTCTTGCTCACGGTCAGCTTAGTAAGTTTATTCATGACAGGGAAACATTCGAGAGAATTGTTGGCTCAATGTGTTTGTTTGCTTATTCATTTTTTTTTCCCTCGAAGCTTGAAAAGATTGTTAGGTCAGATGACTGAACATTTAAAAAATTAGTTAACATTAAACTTGTAAAGTAGTTAAAACATTTTAGGCATTTATAACCTACAATCGGAACACTTGGAGTTATTGCTAAAACCTGCTAGACTTAAATGAAGAGAAGAAACTAAAATTCATGGATTGAGAGACTTAGTATCGCTACAATGACAATACTACCAGAGCCATCTAGATTCAAAGTGACCCTATCAAAATCCCAATGGATTGTCTTACAGAAATAGGAAAATACAATCTAAAATTAGTATGGAATCTCAAGGGACCCAAAACAATCTTTAAAAAGAATCAAACTGTAAGACTCAAACTTCCTACTTACTAGGAAGTTACAGTAATCAACCAGTGGTCCAGCATGCAGACACACTCATGGACGCATGGAACAGAATAGAAACCGTAGGAATAAGCCCTGCATGTGGTCAGCTGATTTTCAACAAGCTGCTGAGATGATTCAATGAGCACCCTTTTTATGTATAGAGGGGATTCTGAGGACAGGACAGCAGATGCCCAGAAGCCAGGGCAGCGGCAGCTGGTCAGCATCTGGGCTTGGTTCCCCGCCGGAGGCAGGGAGGCCCACTGTCCACAGGCCCCCAGTGAGAGGGAAACAGCAGGCACACATTAAGCACAGAGCCGCCTTTATTGGCTCCTGACCCCAAATGGCTCCTCTGTCTGTCCGCGTCCTGCGCATGCGCAGGTGCTGGGGTTGCAGCATCGATCCCAAACTCCCACAGCTCTGACTGCAGCATCCTGTGAGGGACTTTGAGCTGGTCTCACGTCCGCCTCCTGGGCTGTCATCCAGGCAGAGGGTGCCCGGGAAGGGACATGGTGACGCGGGGGACAAGTGGGCCCTCGAGACAGCATGGCAGCCATAGCCTTTCCCCGAGGGCATCATCCTGACCCATGTCTGCCAAGACAGCTGGCTAAGGCCATGTCCTGCTCCAGAAGGCCAGATATGCCGGGGACCGCAGCCCTTTGGGACATGCGGCTCACAGGACACAGCTACTTTCTCCGCCGGGAGGTCTGGGAGCTGCTGCTGCGGCTGTTGGGGGCTGGGGCAGCCCGGTCACGGGCTGAGTCCTTGGGGGCTGGCCTCTCCTCTCTGGCTGGAGAAGACCACCAGGAAGGTTGGGGCCCCAGCAGGGCCTGCATGACCCTAATGGCCCCGACTGTGAGAATGAGCCCCCAGAGCAAGGTGGGGGCTTCCAGAGGCGACAGCTGTCTCCGTAACCAGTGGAGAGCCCGGGCAAGGGTGCTGCTGGCGCTGCGTGCCCGGGGCGGGCTCTTGTCCTGTGGGCGCAGGATTGAGGAGGGTCCATGGTGGGGTTACCCACCCATCCCCACCTTCTCGAGCCTGGCTAACGCCTTCCTACCTGGAGGCCGAATTGCCTGAGCAGCGTGTCCAGCACGGGGTCTCCCAGGGACACGGGTGGGAAAAATTCCTCAACCCACTGGCGTCGCCACCACCGGCTGCAGTGGGGTGGGGGATAGTTCATGCAGTGCCAAGTCCAGCCCCCAGGCCCTTGCCCGGCGCCCCAGTCTTACCCCTGCTCCCCAGGCTGTGAGAACCAGTACTTGTAGCGCTGGGCCCGCACATAGGTGGGCGGCTGCTTGTGGAAGGGGTACCTGGCCATGTCGTTCTGGATGAGGCGGATCACTGCGAGGAAGCGGGGCTCAGAGCCCAGCGCCCTCAGCCCCGCCCACAAGGCCCCACCCCTGCCCTCCCCTCCGCTCCGGCCTCACCTGGCTCCTTGCCCTGCAGCAGGCAGAGCACCAGGCTCGTGAACCAGGGGCTGTGCGTGTGGGGGCCCAAGGCCGCAAACCACATCTGCCAATCCAGGCGCGGCTGGTGGGGCGTCACGACGGGGGGCGGTCGGCTCACATTCCCCGGCTTGTACATGAACTCGATCTCCTGTGTACCCAGCCAAGTTCATGAGGGCGGCTGCACCCGGGTCCCCTGAGCCCCCCACCCCCACAGAGCCTGCTGGGCGCCCTGAGCAGGGGCCCGCGGGAGCACTCACCGTCCAGTCGTGCCCGTCGTAGCTGCCTTCCAGCACCACCTCCGGCCGCCCGCTCAGACAGCTCATTCGGCGGAAGAGGCCATAGGAACTGGCCAGCTGCAGGTGTTCCACGGCACCGAACAGGCGGTGGGCGCCGGTCCAGAGGTGCCCGTGGGTGGAGGGCTCCATGTAAGAGTATGGCACCTGGAGGCAGGTGGGTGGAGGTTCAGTGCTGACCCTTCAGCCCCCTCCCCCGCCCCTGCGAAGTGGTACCCACCAGGCTAATCACGAACAAGGCCGCTGTGGCAATGCCGAAAATGAACAGCTGGACTGCAGCCCAAAACTTCTGCAGCCACCCCCACACCTGGGTCCACCTGAGCGGGGGATGAAGTGCAGTCGGCGGGCTCTGGCGGCTCTACAGCCAGCCCT